CATTGGAGTTGGTGCCCGCCGTCAATTTCGCCGGAGTTGGCCGGAAAACGCTCCGACCCGCCGGCGGTTTCCGGCGGGTCGGAGCGTCTTCCGGCCATCTCCGGCGAAATTGACGGCGGGCACCAACTCCAATGTGGTCGTGGCATCCGGGCGACCTCCAAGGACCCTTCAATTGCAAAATTTGATGACGATTTGCAAAACTCCCAATTTTAGACCCAATTTCGAATTTTAGGGTTTTTTCGAGTAGAAAAATTCAGATTCGAGACGTTACAGGACAAATTAGACAAAATGGTTTGGATATTATTGATCCTCGTCTCAAGACGAAGAGAATGACATTGGTCCCGCCGGAATCGGAAAAAGTTCATTTTCCGGCGACTTTGACCGGCGGGCGGCGGCGGCGGGGCCTGGAAGAAAAGAAAAGAAGAAATGGGATCAAATTGAAAATTTTAAAATATATAAAATTCGAATTTGGCCCTAATGACCGGAGGTTAACCTAGAAACGGGCTAATGGCTCATTAGTGAAAGGATGGTGTAAGTTCAGGGATTTTTGTGAAAGGATTTGAAGTTCAGGTACCACTTCGAAATTCCAGCTAAAGTTCAGGTAACATTGGTGAAATTTACCCTACATATGAGCATTTGTTTCACTAAAATAATGTTTGTCGCATTTGCCAATCTGCTTCTGCTTACAGTCTAAAATAGACTCCAAAAGTGCTTTTAAGAGCTTTTAAGAAAAGTTAAAAGCTTTCTTCTACTTAAAACGTTTGCTTATTCAACAATCTACTACACTCCCAAACACCCTCTTAATGTTAGGAAAAATCTGAGATGTTTTGGTTTTTATTGTAAAAACACCATGTTTTTTTTTAATTAGTTGTCAATTGAGCTAACAAATAGTTCGTTTTAGAATTACAAGATATCATAGAGGCATTTAGAATTTTAGATGCAGTTAGTCTCTAAACAAAACGTGAGTTTTTTGGCAATTTGAATATTTTTCTCATAGGAAGGTTTGCCATTGTTCTGGTCCATTTAATTTATGTAACTTAATATACGCTTCCTGTTGCCTAATGAAAATAGCTGGAATTTTCGATTTGTAGCTAGTAAAAAATTTGTTATTCAAGAATTAGTACATGGGTGAAAGTGTACAATTGGCTATTTTTTCTAGGAGATTTGGTTGGCTCTTCTCAAGATGGTGTCAGAGGGGAGATAGATTCCAATAATCATGCCGAATTACCCAATTCACCATCATCTTCAGGTTGGTTTTGTCAGTTTTCTTCGAAAGGACATCTTTGTAGAGAAGACATGATGTGACAGCCTTATATTGGGGGAAATTATGTCTTTTGTTTGTACACACATGTTGGTTCTTGAAAAGGTTATGTTTTCAGTCTATAACCAGGCTGTGGTATTGGGAACATTCGGCCATCAGTATACGTCCAAGTGCCCTGCCACAGCGAATATTGAATAACTTCTTACCTTTCATGTCGTATGGCGGCACCAAATGCTTGTGGGAGATTAAATGAAGAGTATTATCTCCTCTCGGTTCGTATGTTTCTCGACTTATTTGTTTAATGGCTTACTGACAGTCTTGGACTTCTTGCAGGAGGTCGTGCTATGGATACCAACATAATATATACTTGCAAAATATCAAACATTAATAATTTTATTTTATTTTTTTCTCCTTGGTCCCAAAACATTATTACAACTTTTGCTAATGCACATTCATTTTGTGCGTAATGTACATTCATTTGATCATGTCTTGAGTGACTGCTGTAAGGTTCATTGAATTTCACCAGCTATTTGATATGTTACGATTTTTCCTATAGGTCATCAACTAGAGAACCCTCTTATGTTGCTAGAGCAGTATAGTGACGATGAATTGGTTGTCCATGATGAACAGGTAAAATAAACTACACCTTAGTGGTTATTAATTGACTGATGCAGAGAAATAAGTCAAATAACTTTGCAGGTCTTGTAAATAAAGTGCTAATCTTTTCACATGCTATTATATGATGACCTACGATTTTGACCATGATATTCATGGGAGTGCCTTTTAATGGGTGAATAAGTTTGTGGGACTTCATGTGATTACTTGCTGGAATTTTCTACTTCAATCATACTATAATTATCAATACTACTCCAAGTATGGTGGTATGAGCTTCATCCATGCAGGTGGATTCGCCTATACTCATTTGCAAAGAAAATGAGAAATAAAGATGGAGAGGAAATAGGAGAAGAAATTTGCAGTGGCTTTCTTCGGGAACTAATGATAATTATATTTCCCTTGTACTAAACACCCCTATTATGCTGAATATTTATTATTTAAATACATGATCTAGAATATCTTGTTGTACTTGAATATAAGATTTGAAAGCTGTGTGTGTGTGTGTGTCTGGTACTGCCAACTCCATAGTTAATGTTTCCAAGGTATAAATTAACTTCCGTCATTGTTTTTTCTTGAAAATAATTGCATGTAAGTGTGATGCCCTCTCATATGATGCTTTGTGATTGTGAGTGACTCTTGTAGTAGTGGTTTCAGTAAATAATTTAGTGTTCCATTGCCTTCTATTAGGGAAAAGTATCTTTTAGAGAAGAAAAGAAAGATGGCAAGGGTTTTATCAGTTCTGCACCTTTGAAGGATAAAGATGAAGAAAAAGACTCTGCTTCTGAGATTATTCTGCAGATAGCAGAGAAGTGTGGACATAAAGAAAGCGATGTGGTTTACCCTTTCGAAAGTTTAAAAGAAAATGATGAAACGAGTGAAAGTACTACACTAGATGGTGTGATTTCAGGATGGAAAGTTCTTTTGCATGAAGAGAGCAATCAATACTATTATTGGAATGTTTCAACAGGTGAAACATCCTGGGAAGTGCCCAGTATTTTGATTCCAACGTTTGATATCGGGAATGATGAGAAAGCTACATATGCTATTGATGTGGATAATGCCAATTTTAAAACATCTGAATATCATGCAAATGGGAACATACAACTGAAAGATTATAACCCTGGAGAGACATGTGATGGCTCTAATGATATGCATGAGTACAAAATGGTTAACAAAGAATACAATTTTAAAGCTCTTCATGGGAAAGGAGTTGATGGTGATGCTGACCTGAAGGACATGAAAAATATGGCTGGACAACTTGAATCTAATATAGGCATTTCATTTCTTGCCAGTGATTCTATCAAGCATGCAGGGGATTCTTTGTCAAATCATTTAAGTAAATCAGGTGAAGATGCTGAGAAGCTTGGAGATGTGCCAAGTGCTGAAGAAATTGAGGTTCAGGCAGACTTCTCCTCCAACCTTGTGGAGCAATGTAAATCTTTATTGCATAAATTGAAGGCAATGCAATGGTATGGTATTGTTTATGCCTTTTTTTTTCTTCTATCTTCATACTTGTGTTCCATCAAAGTAGTGTTAGTTTTTAAATATTCTATTGTAACTTTTTTAATTTTAAATATTTACAGGTCCCAAAAATGTGTGCAAGGACACGATCTAATATCAAAATACATGGTAGAAGTTGAAACCAGACTTGCTGATATTATGTCTTTAGCATGTAATGGATTTTCCTTGCTTCCCTTTTGGGTGCACTCAGAAAAACAGCTCAAACTGCTAGAAGCCGCCATAGATGAAATTCCTCTGCTGTCTAATTCCCTACAGAGCTGTGATGCTGATGATTTACATACTTCTCACCATGAGACTACTGATGAAGCCAAAGTGCATGCAAATGAGAACATTGCCATCCACCATTCCTGTAGGGAAGTATACGCTGCTGATTATGCTGGAAGTCTAGAGAGCAGAAAAAATGCCTATGCTGAAGCTTTGAATGGTGTTGCCACTAACAATTCTGGGAGAAATGCCTTAGAAGAAGGTGAAGTTGTTGAACATGCAGCACATGAAGAATTGTCTCCTGAAACAGTGCATCTTGGGGAAGAAGACATGGAATTGGATATGGAAGTTGAAGATGTTCCTCTTGATTCATCAATTGTGGACGCATCATTTGGCCATAATCGTATAGACCATGGGAGAGATATGGTGCAAGCCTTGCCATCAAATGAAGGACCATCTTTTCTGGATCATGCATCTAGTGTTCCACCCCCTCCACCTGATGAAGACTGGGTTCCCCCTCCTCCTCCCCCTGACGATGAGCCATTTCCTCCCCCACCACCTGATGAGCCACCTGAAGCAGCATATTCTCAGTCTTCTGATTTGCAGTCTGTGCAGCCTTTTCCTTGCACTGAATCTTATCCAGTTTCTGGCTATGGATTTTATGGCCAAATGGACAACATACCTTCAACTAGTAACTTATACTCGCATGCTGAGGGTCAGGTAGCTGTTTCACATCAGCATCTGTATTATGAGGCGGTATCAAATGCATACCGTTCTGATCCAATGGAAGCTAACACTGTTGATCCTCATGCATATTATGGTTTTCAAGGGGGGTCAGAGCAGCACGTGGCTGTTGCTGTGACTGCAGATTCATCAGTGCATCCCAGTGCATCTATTAATGAAGCTCTTTCAGATCCAACTGCATCATTTAGCACTAATATTCAAGTTAGCTCTGTTTTTTCTATACAAAACAAGTGTGATGGTGTTGTTGATGTTACACCTCTTGGGATATCATTAAATTTCCCTGCGGCTCAGGCAACCTTTGAAAAGTCAAACACTGTCATTGCATCAGAAAATCGATTGGCCTCATCAACTTGTTCTATCACTGCACCTGCTACTTCTGTGGCTTCAGCTTCTAATGTCCCACCTAAAGGTAAGTTGCAAAACTCATAGCAACTGGCAGAAGCACTAAGGGTGTGTTTGGTTGGAGAGGAGGGGAGGAGAGGGATGGGCTACTAATTTACTATTCGGTCTATTCCTTTTCCCTTTTCCCCTCTCTGATAATCAAACACATCAAGTTTTAATTTTCCCTTGCTTTCCTCTTCACTCCATTCCAACAAACCGGACACGGTAACAGTCATTCCAACCAAGCACACAGCCTAAGTTGCGAGTCTCATAGTAACTGGTTGATGAACTATGCATGTATGGTTGTTAGTGAAATCAACCCATTTGATTCGAGGTGGGCTGCTCGGGACAGTGGGCTTTTAGTCTTTTTTAACCCTAAATCTGTTGTGCCATACGCTTTAGTTAGGGCCATCTTTGGTTACATAAATTCTAAGTAATCTGACTGGTTGTACAGTCTATAATTAGACTTTATTCTAAAGATGTGTCTGACATGATTTCTTTCTATTTCATCCCAGTTTCTCGCAACAAAAAGCGAACTGTTTCCATAGGCTCAACTTTAAGGTTAAATAAGAAAGTCTCTAATTTGGTTGACAAGGTATTCTGCCACCCTTTCAGTATTTTTCATATTATACAATATCTTGGGATCATGCTCAGAATAATACAAAAGGTATCCTACTCAGAATATTAGTCCCATTTCATTTGCATTTTTTAGTGGAAGGCTGCCAAAGAGGAGCTGGATGAAGTAGAAGAGGAACCTGCCAGTGCATATGAAATATTAGAAAAGAAAAGAAACCGGGAAATAGAGGTGAGTTCCAAGGCCCCATTGCTCTGTTAGTGATTATTCTTGTATTTTTGCCTTTTGGATCCTAACATTTGCTTGGATACAGGAATGGCGTGCAAAGCTAATTGCCAGTGGGGAAGCAAAGGATAATGCTAACTTTCAGCCACTGGGTGGTGATTGGTACAACTCTTATTCCTTAATATGTTTATATTACTCTGCATACCCTTGGATACATCTTGGAGAACAGTTGATCAGCAGCTTAAGTTGTGGGAGTGTGGGACCACTGTCTTGAATGTGATAATGACCCGACCTAAATGCTAGTCGTTATGATTGGTCACTCGGCCACTCCCCAAAGTTCCACAACACCTTATATTCACGGGCACTTGTTAGTAGATGTTTGGAGCTATCCAAGCAAATACCCAGAAAGGGGAAAAGCAAAGAAGATGAATAATGGTGTAGTGTGTATTTGTTGTTAGACCGTGAAGGCTTGAAAGTGTATACATTTATACGCACAGCCCAACTTAAACAATAAGATAAAATTAAGTAAGATCAAACACTAACCATTAAATATTTATGACCAAGTATTAATGCCTATTAATACTTGTTTTAATAGTAAATATAAGAATATAATTCGTGTGTAAACTATAAAGAAATAACAATGCATTCAACATCAATCATCTAGAATACACAGATACATCATACATGTTCACAATCAAGGTTATCACGTCAAGTTGAGTCTCAAGCGGAATAACCGACAGACTAGTGGACTAGTTACTCGCTGTGTTTGTGTGTGTCAAGCAATAAATTTTTAACTAAATCTTATCAATTAAAATAAGATAGAAACTAAAGACGGAATGCAAAAACAAGACTTGTAAACGAAAGGAGTTGTGTAAATTGAAGAGGTAATCTCCAAAACTACTTACAGAAGAGGAGATGGCTTAGGTCTCTGGTGGCGAGATGCCAGGGTTTTTGGGCTTGAAATTTAGCGCCCACCGTCTGCACATTTGCAACCGTATTTCTATTTCATGTTTAGAACAAAGTATGGTTCAGGCCGGGTCAATTGACGGGTTACACAACATTTCTGCTCGTTCTTCCTGACTACTTGTTGCCATGGTCGCAATCATAAGTTTTATCTTCCTAGCCGGATGACTCGACAACAATTTGAGAGCTACTCTACGATGTCACAACACTGTTCACAACATATCCATCTTTGATTATTGTGTTGTCAAATTTCTTATACCAATGGTTAGGTGCTTGTTTCAACCTGTACTCCTGGAGCGGTATATCCTTAATTAAACACTTGATCTTCCTATCAAGGGCTGTGAACTCTTTGACTTGAATCATGTAAATGTCTTCATCTAATTCAATATTCAAAAACAATCTCTATGTCCATTTGATGTACTACAAGATTGAGAATCACAACTAATGCGAGTAATGCTTTAATGGTGGCTATTTAAGTCAATACAGATTAAGTATCAAAGAAATCTATAGCCTTATCTTCAGTAAACCTCCCAATCACAAGTCTTGCTTTATACTCCTTGTGGTGCTGGACTCTTGTTGTAGATAAATCAACCTTAGCTAAACACCCTCACAGTCAAAGTGCTAAAACTAAGGACAAACCATCAGAACATTCATGCCTAGCTATTGGTGTGGAACATAGACAAGCATGTTTTCTCCATCATGTCGTTAGGCAATCGTGAATATTATAACATAGAGTTTATCATTTACTTAAGAGTCTTGTTTTCCTATTGAATCTTGACCTTTTATTTAGCTATCAAGCTTGTTCTCTATTTCTGCTTAGTATATCAAGGGCACAGGCCTTCAGCCTCATAATTAGTTTCAAGGAGACATTCTTGTGTGGCGATTATAATCCTCCATGAAGGTTACATAAAAATACTTTACTTCCTTTACTAGTAGTTGTTTTCTCGAAATTGGCTAATTATGAATTGAACCTGAACTCATTTTTTCGATTAAATTTGTTTAAAATGTTTCCCATCACATTTAGAAAATTCCTTTTTGTTAACATTAAAAATTAATTCGTGCGACTTAATTTTCTAATTGAAGTAGCATCTACATGGCCTCCACAATTTCTGCTCCCATGACATCTTAACAATGTTATTTTGAGAAGTACCATTCTTTTGGTTTCTTTTAGTTGATTTTTTCTACCATAGCCTTGGAAAGCTTTATGGACGGGTTTCCAACATACGTAATTAGAGGTGGATATCGAATCAACCGCATCGGTTTCGGGTTGGATTTTTCGGTTCGGATATATTTCAGTTATATGCTATAATCGGTTCGGTTCGGATCGGATCGGTTTAATTTCGGTTCGGATTTGATTCGGTTTTACATTTTTCGGTTTGGTTCGGTTTTGAGTCGGTTCAGATACGGTTCGGTTATAAATCGGTTCGAATAGATTTTGGTTCGGATACAATTTGAGTCGGATATATTTCGGTTTCGGGTCTAGTTCGGTTTAGATATATTTCGGTTTCGGATCAAATATATTTTGGATATATATTATTTTCTAATTAAAATTTAACTATCCATGTTTCTTTCTATGTTTTATCACATTTATCAATCTATCATCAAATCAATACCTCATATTATTTTATATTTTTTTCTAATTATATTATTTCTACCCTAAATAATCTTCCCTTTTTGACTTTTTAGTCATATTTTACAAACTTGGACTACAAATTATGAAAACATATATATTTAATTATGATATAAATTTAATATAATTAAATTGATTTTAAAATTTAGTTTTGATATATCAAATTTTTCTCATATCTACTAATATACTTGTGTTTATAAATGCTCCGATATAAGATAAATTCAAATAATATTATGTTCCATTTGAATACAATTTGGTAAAAATTGAGTAAAATTAGGTGAAATTAAGTGAGTGCAAACAAGATCACACATGACTATATTTAGGCTTACACATTGAGAGAATTTGATGAGTCAAAGTGCTTAGATGAACAGTTCCAAAAGTTAAAACTGGACGAATACTCCGGGACGGAGGGAATAATATTTATTTCAACACTTTATTCTTTTAACTCCTTAAGTTGTTTTCAATTCCTTCTAGTTTTTTTCAACTCCTAACAGTCTTTTCTAACTCCTAGTATCTTCCAATTTATTTTAGTTTACTCCAACTCATTTCAGTTTTTCCAGCTCCTTCCAGTTTCTTTCAACTCTTTCTAGTTTCTTCCAACATCCAGCTATGTTTTACAACTGAAACAAACAAAGCCTTAGTTGTCCATGTGGTAATTTTTGTTTTGATACTTTCTACCAATCTTCAGCTTCTCTACTTTCGAGTAGGGGTAAGGACTGCATACCCACTCCCTCCCGAGACCCTACTTTTGTGGGATCCTACTAGTTTGTTGTTGTTGTTGTTGTACTCTCAACCAATCTATGACACTCCCTGTTACTTATCCTTGATGCAGTAATGGGACTCCCAAGATGCATGATTGGTAGTTCCCATAAAGCCATATTTGTCTTCGGGATGATCCTATCTTTCATAGTATTTGTCACCCGTCCCAAAATAATGTGGGACTTATTATTATTCAGTTGTAATTTTGTAGTAACCCTAGAATGGTCCAAAGCCCTCATAATACATCAATTGAGTTGTTCTCAAGCTTGCATACAATAATTAAACCATCCGCAAGATCCAGATTAATGATATTCAAGGACTTACACATGGGGTGGTGTTTGAAATCTCCATTTGCAGCACTGTACTAGTGAAGCACTACAGTTAACTACATTACTAAAACAAACAGCCGAGGTGGTATTGGGTCACCTTGTCTCAACCCTTTATTTCCTTTAAAATATCCATAAGTCTCCCCATTGATGATAACTGAAAATGCTGTAGAACCCATACAAAATTCAACCTAAGTAATAAAATGATAAGGGAAATTCAGATGGGGAAGAATTTGCAGGACTGCCTTCCAACAAACTGAATCATAAGCATTTTAAAGGTCTAACTTCGTCATGCATCTAGAAGAAATACCCATTCTAGTATACCCTCTGGCCAATTCATGACATAACAGAACAATATGAATGAACTCCCTCCCTTTAAAAAATGCAGCATGGTTTTATCCACAATTTCGTGAAGGACCTTTTTCAATCTACTACACATAATTCTGGAAATCACTTTATAGATTACATTGCCACTAGAGATGGGTTTCAAGTCTGCTGGGGTTTGAGGAGTTGGTTGCATTGATTTGTTTCAAGGACATACCTGAATTGAAGAAGTCAAGTATAGCCTTATTCACCAAATCTCCAACCACATGCCCCTGCTTCTTGAAAAAGCCACTGCTAAAAGATGGCCATTTATTCTGTTATATGCTAATGATCACATTTCCCAGTTTGCATATGTATGATGCCATGATACAGATTAGTATTGGTGTTCTTTTACCCACTTCTACCTTTGCTGCTGGAATGTCATGCTTACTGTGTAACTTAATGACATACATGAAAACAATAATACAGCAACTTCTTTGCCCTATAGGGTATTGGGCATGGTCACTTACAGTTTCCTGCTTTGTTTGCGATTTCATAGGCGAGAGCGTGTAAAACAAAAAAGAGCTGAAAAGTTGAAAGAGGCTGAACCAAGGGATACTGCTACTGATGGTGCTGGAGAAAGTCATCAGCTTGATCTTAATGCACTATCAATAGGTCTTCCATCTGGATGGCAGGTAAGTTTCTGCTTACTGGCTCTTAGGCATCATCTGAGTGGTTTTATTATTTATTTTACTGTATTATTGCTTTGGATATCTAGGACCAGTGAAGTTAGGGTAGACTTTGGGGCTTTAGTGGTAGCTTTTTTGCTCGTGTGTGTGCTTTCTGTGCTTAAAGTCTAATAGCTAGTGTCGGTTTGTGAGCGCTTTCATGGCCTTCAGTTTTCTCTTTGCTACTATGTTCGCGCTTTTGTGTCTACTTTGTTGGTTTACTTTGACCGTGTTTGAGTTGTGGGTCTCTTGGAAACAACCTCTCCACTTTCGAATAGGGGTAAGGCTTGCCCTGCGTACACACACCCTTCCCACCCTTCCCAGATCCTACTTTTTGTGGGATATTATTGGGTTTGTGGTATCATTGCTCTTTTTCATATTTCAGGTTTACTTTGACGAGTCCTCAAAACAGGCGTATTATGGAAATATTACAACATTGGAAACAACCTGGAGTAGACCAACAAACTGAGCGTCTCTAATGCCAATTTTGGTTTAGTTGAATAAGTTTTATGTCCTGTACATAGCAGATGAAGAATGCATAACCCCAAAGTTTGATTATATCCTTGCACGCTCTTACATTATTGTCTTCCAAATTCCATTGTCTAATATGAAGTAACAAGTCATAGTTTAGGTTTCTGTAAGCTTTTGTATAGAAAATTCTGCTCATCCTCTTGGCCATGATGCGTTCTTTTGTTACAAATATTGTTATCATTTGGTTTATTACAAATGGTGGATGATTGCGAATGTTTTTTAGCACAATTAGATTCTAACCCGTGCAATGCACGGCCAAAAATTTATCTAACGATAGAGGTAAGTAAACATATAAATAATTCAAAATTAGGAATTAGATAATAAGTCACTAAACTTCAAATTTATTTAGACAATTGGTATAATGTATATATACTCGTAGTATATTTCACCAACCAATCAATATTTCATGAAATTAGTTAAATAGAAATATACGGAGTAATCATAAATTTTGAAAAACTTGTTTATATACAATACTCCGAGTACAATCTAGAAAATTATTTTTTTCATTGCAAATCAAGATCTCTTTGTCCATTTGTCACGCGTGAAATAGCAATGTAAAATTGACAATAGCTAAAGACTAATTTTAAAGTAGTAGAACAACATTCAAAAAAGAATGTTTCTAACTTTTGTTAATAGTCTTATCAAGTCATGACGTGAAATTGTTTCCTTTGAACTTTAAATGGAATCTCTTATCTAAAGAATTTAATGATAACATAAGGATTACAACTTCATGACCGCCTTGTCATAACCTTCGCTTTGATTAAGTGATTCCCCCAACCTTGTTATTATGAGTCTTGTTCCATTGTTGGGTAGCAACCTTCAACCTAAGTGCGTGGTTAGCAACCTTCAACCTAAGTGCGTGGTTTGGAACTCTAGAAGTTTGAATACTATTCACAAACTTATGTGAATGCAAATTTTGTAGAAAATATGCATTTGAGTCTCACTTACAAATATCGTCAAAAATAATATGGTTAGGATAATATACAAGAAATAGTATGATCAAATACTTTTAAAAAATAGTATGGTAAAAAACTTGGGTATGCTTTAGACTTCTCATAAACACCCAACACTATCATTTAATCATTAAATGAATTAACATCTAATGTTGGTGCCATGAATGATCAAAATACTATACAAATCCTATATATATCTTTGTATGTATGTATGTGTGTGTGTGCGCGCGCGCGCGTGTGTGTGTGCGCGTCTGTGTGGGTGTGTGTGCGTCTGTGCGCGTGTGTGCGTGCGTGCGTGTGTGCGTGCGTGTGTGCGTGTGTGCGTGTGTGCATGTGTGCATGCGTGTGTGCGTGCGTGTGTGCGTGAGTGCGTGCGTGCGTGCGTGCATGCGTGCGTGCGTGTGTGTGTGCATAAATGCATGTTTGTATGTATGTATGTATAAAAGAAGGTTCTTTAGTTGTTGTAAAGACATGTGACATATGGCATGACAAACTTTTTTATCTACATGGCATAATCTCATTACTTTATTAGTCCACATGGCATTTATTACAATATTTTTTATTTATAAAACTATTCATGATTAAATTATTGTATTTAATTACAATAAATTTGTATATATATAAAACTCATAAAATGTTTTTTATATAAAAATTAAAATAAATAAAATTAGATTATAATTCATATAATGTTTATATTAATAACTTCATTTTCAAATTCTAAGGACAAGGTTCCTGCATCAACATCAATTTTGGCCTGAGCAGTTTTCAAAAATGGTCTGCCCAGAAGGAGAGGGATGCCTGAATAATCATGTCCCATGTTAAGGACATAAAAGTCAGCAGGAAAGAGCATGTCATTGACCTGGACTAAAACATCCTCAACCACCCCTTCAGGGTAAGTCAAACTCCTGTCAGCAAGTTGAATAACTACCCCAGTCTCTTTTAGTTCTCCTACCCCTAACTGGTCAAATAATTCCCTAGGCATGACATTGATGGATGCTCCTAAATCAAGTAAAGCCTTAGTATTCTCCAAATTTCCAATCTTACAAGGCACAGAAAACACACTAGGGTCCTGACATTTCTGTGGAAGTTTCTTTTGAAAGATGGCAGAAACATTTTCACTAATGTTCACCCTCTCATCCCCTTTCAGCCTTCTTTTATTAGTGCACATCTCTTTCAAAAATTTTGCATATTTTGGAACATTTTTTTCTGCATTTAAAAGAGGAATGTTCACTTGAACCTTTTTAAACATTTCAAATATTTCATCATCTGGTTCTTTACTGTTCTTCCTTTGATTCTGATATTTACTGGGGAAGGGTGGCTTTTCCATCATCTCCGATGGAGCCAAAATTTCACCATTTTTTGGCTTTGGGGTGTGATGGAATAAATCAAAATGGATCTCTAAACTGTCTGCGCTTCTTTAATTAATGAAGTAGCAGTTAGTCAAGCAATGCAACTTTCGACGTTGAGCCGGGGGTCTCTTTGGAAACAGCCTCTCTACTTTCGAGTAGGGGTAAGGTCTGCGTACACACACCCTCCCCAGACCCTACTCTTGTGGGATTTAACTGGGTTGTTGTTGTTTGTTGTTGTACTGGGGAAGGGTGGCTGAGGTTTGTAAACTGCCTTAGGAGTGTCAAGTGGTTCAGGAGTCACAACAGATTTATTATTGACCAGTTCAGGGTCTTGGATTTTCTGTGAGTCAAGTTCCTTTTCCATAATTTCTTGTTCCCTTCTAACATTCCCAAAGGAAGGTTCAGGAAGTACCTTGTTATTCCTAAGGACAACAGCACTCACATTCTCCTTAGGAGCAGGAAATGGTTGAGCAGGTAACCTGTTGTTAATTTGGGCTTGCAAATTACTCAACAAGGTATCCTGGGCTGTTTGCCTTTCTTGCATTAGCTTTATATTCTGATCAACCAGATAGAACTTGTCCTCCATTTTTTCAAAATTACTTCCAGCATTTGGTGTGTTTTATCAACAGGACCAGGAGGGTTGTTTAGATTTGCAGAAAAATTGTAGTTGTTTGTATTTTGAAAACCTGGGGGATTTGGTCTGGGACCATATCTCAGATTTGGATGATCCCTCCATCCTTCATTGTAGGAGTTGGAGTAGGGATCATACCTTCTTTGTCCTTGATTGTTAAAAGCAGCTTTCACCTCACAATTTTGAAAATTTTCAGATTGAAAACCAAATTTTCAGATTGAAAACCAGGAGCTGGAAACATTTGATTTTGAAAACTGGGGCACACTTCTGAAGTATGCCTTTCTAGGCTACACACAGAGCAAACTGACTTCTTGATTCCCCTCACACTAATCATTTGACCCATTATTTTGGTGAGATTGGCAATCTGATCAGTGAGAGCTGCAAGAGATTCAGTTTCCTTTTTTGGTTCATAAGTCCAAATTGTTGTGTGTTCTGAGATATAAGATTGAACAAATTCCTAGCTTCCTCTGGGTCTTAGTAACTAAAGTACCACCACTGGCAGCATCTACCATACTTCTATCCATTAGGGATAACCCTTCATAGAAGTAGAAGTACTGGATGAGCAGCTGTTTAGAGATTTGATGCTAAGGACAACTAGCACAAAGTTTATTGAATCTCTTCCAATATTCGGAAAATGATTCATTCCCCAGTTGTTTTATCCCACAGATGTCCTTCCTAATAGATCCTATTCTAGAGGCAGGAAAGAACTCCTCTAAGAATGCCTTATGCAGTGATGGCCAGGTTGTAAAAGACCCAGGAGGCATATAGTACAGCCAATCTTTTGCTCTGTCCATTACTGAAAAGGGAAAGGCCCTAAATCTAATTTGCTCTTGAGGAACTCCTTCAGGTTCCATGGCAGCACATGTTATGAGGAACTCATTAACATGTCTATAAGGGTCTTCACCAGGCAGGCCATGAAACTTGGGAAGCATATTTAAAAATCTAGAGTTTAATTTCAATGGTTTTACCAAAACAGCATATCTAATGGACATGGGCTGGGTCTGAAGGTCAGGTGCAGCTAGTTCCCTTAAAGTTGCCATGTTATTATGTGATTGAAAAGGGCAAACAATTACCTCAGTTTCAGGTTCTAATTCAAAATCAAAAGAAGTAGCAACCTCAGAAATACTGACCTGATTCTCCAAATTTATTTCAACACTTACCCTTGTGGTCTCCAAACCACTTCTTAACTGCATCAAAAGGCAGATACTGACACAACACTTAAAACAAGGGTTAGTGCCAACTCAACAATGAGTCACAACAGAAAAGAAGAGTTTGCACTTTGGTGAATTTTAATCAGTGTGTAAAAGACACAGATGTTCACAAAAAACAACTTAAAGAGACCTAGTATGACAGTTAGAAAAGATAGAAGAGATCAAATCTCCCCGGCAACGGCGCCAAAATTTGTTAGCCACTTGTCAGGTGACAACAAATTAACTTATTCCCCCATTACTACACACTTATAAAAATGGTAGCAAAGTGGTAAGTAGGGTCATTCTTCCACAGGGAGATTTGTCTTCTATTATATCTTCTCTTGATTTATTGCTCAGTTTCCACAACACACACACACACACACGCAGGGGGGTTTGTTCATAAGATCCTAATGCTACGTATTGAAAGTAGATTCTAACAATAACAATGAGAACAGATCAAAGAAGGAGAGAGAAGATCAAGTAGAGATCTGTGGTTATCAAGTAGAGTGAACAAGCTTGTCTGGTGGAATTAGGAACAGTCGTTCAGATCAAAGTATAGAATCAGATTCTCAATTAAACATGTTGTTGAATAGAAGTGAGACTTAGCTCTCTCAGCAAGAAACTAAGTCTCCACCTCAAATATTAGCCCTTAAGAGAGATGAGCACTACTTAAGGACCTATACCTATATTAATGACCTCAGGATGAGCCTGATGCTAATCAACATAAGCATGAATTCAATTATAAAGATCTTTTGAACATACAATGTACTTGCACAGCCAACTACACGTACTTTATGTCAGTTGTTGAACCCCAAATAAGAATTTCAAACTGAATAATTGAGGCATGAGACCTACAATCAACAGATTCGAAAAGCTAAGCACAAAACAGAGTTAAACAACCTTCAACAATTGTCTAAACCTCGAATCATAGCAATTATCACAAATTCCTAAGGACTGATCCTAAATTTCCACCAGACAAGAGAGGGATTACTCTCGGGACATGATCGTGGTAGTCAATTCACAAAATAAACACATGATCACAGGAGATTATTGTCCAAACATGATGTTAGGACTCAGATTTGAATAACACGAAATCACAAGTTCAGTTATTAATCAACATTTCAAATACTCCTCAAACATTAAGAATGTAACTCGAATTTGGAAACAAAAACAATAAATTACCTTTGGACAGCGTTCGAGGATCAAATCCTCCAAACATGATGACTCCTCTGTTTGGCTACAGCGCCTGATCAGGAGGAGCGCTTGGTGATTGTGTGACAGATGATGATGATCGCGAGATCTAACTCGCCGGATGATGCCAAGATGCCGGCATTTTTTTTCTTCCGGTGAACTTTCTATCTCACCTTCTCTCTCTCTTGTTCCTCTCTCCTCTCTTCGTAACTGAATTCCTCACTAACGTCCTACGTCTTGTACTCAACGAATGGGCCGGGATGGTTATTTTCTCTTCGGGTCGTCTAGCCCATTCCTAACATTTAACCCAATTGACCTAAAATAACACAAGAATTGCACTCCAACCTACAGAATGGTCAACGTTCTTTCTTGATCTTAAATTAAACCAAATTCTCACTAATGGTGACCAAAAGATTAGTAAATGTAAGGGAATTTAGAGACTATAAAAGAGCCTAACAGATCTGTTTGCATAGCTTTCAATTGGTGATTTCCGCTGCACCCCACGACTTACATGAACATTGATGTTCACTCATGACCATTGTAAATACTTAGGACAAAATATTTCCTTCTTTAAAAGTCCACCTATAGAACATCGATGAAGGATGTTGTACAACACTATTCATATGACCATTGGGCTATTCAAAAGGAAAGTCAACAACCAGAACATCGATGTACATCTTGCTACATCGGTGTCCAGGCTATTTTTCAGTAGACCGCCTTTGATTTGATTTCCACAAATCATGCCTAATCAACCCCTTTTATCCCAATCGTTGCACCTTGTTTTTGGTTACATCAAAGGGTCTCTTGGTTCTACTTTAACATATAATTCTTCACACTTTCAATACTCTTTCATTGCATTGATCATATTCATTTTTTAAAGCTTTTTTAGAGCCATTTTTTTGAAGATATTGCTATATTCTTGAGCGTTCTTTACTTTACTCATATCTACTCTTAAAAAAAGTATTCTTCTTCAATTTTTAAGTGTTGTATACACTTGAAGGGAGGACTGTTCCCTTCTTAGTTACAAAGGAAGATTATATTCTTTTGGGTTGAAGTCTTGGAGTGTGGTGTCTCCAAGCAAGCATCGTTGAGGCTTGTATGACTCGAGTTTTCAAGCTGTATTAGTTTGTTAAGCATCCTTAAGCTTAACGGAGTTAGTAAGACCTTCGAGAGAGTGTCTCATTGAACTAGATTACCCATAAGTTGTGGTGAACCAGTATAAATTTGTGGTTCCTTTCTTTATGTTCTTTACTTTCCGCTTACTTCATTTAAAATTTCCTACAATTTGGTTTAAACGCTATTCACCTCCCCCCCCCTCTAACGTTGGGCCTTTATTCTAACTACAAGCACACATTTGGGAGAAGCATCATTTTAGGCTTAAGTTTATTAATTTGATTATATACAAATTGAGTTTGACAATGTGAAATTATATACATATTTGATATTTATTTGCTTGAGCATGTTTCATTATTATGCCCTCATCTATTTTATTTGATATTTATTTGCCTGGAAAAATACCTACATTTAAATGCTTGAATGATACATTCAGATGTTGACGGTTTCCAATAGCTCCAACACATGCTTTTCAACCGCTCAATGTCTATAGATTCACCCTATCAACCTACAACGTACAAGCTAGATTGATCCCCAACATTATTTTGAGTCTTTTGAGAGAATTCCTAATGAAGAAAACATCATATATCCATGCAAGTGATCATTGTTGATCATATTCTTTTCTTGCTTGAGTTTCGTCCTCGTTGCTTGAGTCTTCGAGGGTTGCAATTGTCATATTCTATAAGAAAATTGTGCTTATAGAATATTGAAGAGTATTTACATTGTGGTTTGATTTCTTTTGTGTGATAAAGAGTGTAAAATCTAGGTGTTTGGACTACACCGCCAAGTGGCAAGAGAAAATCTCGGTGTTGAGATTATGCCAAGTAGTTAGAGATATCGTAACATTGGGGCTATGCGAAGTGGTGAAATGCTATTACTTGTATCATCAAATTGTAGGTGATAGGTTAAGAGGCTTGTGTGACTCAAGTTTTCGAGTGGCTAAGGTTTGCAAAACACTGCAAAGTTTGGTGGGGTTGTAAGTGAAGGCTTGGGCACGATTGTCCGAGGATAGGATGTAGGCATTAGGTCCAATGAGTTTATTTTGCAATTTATTTTTTATTTATCA